GCCAAATCGATTCGAATTGAAATCTTCCTCGATGGGGAGTAGTAAGTTCCTAAGGTTGAAAATAGTAGATGGTGGATAGAAAACATGGCCCAACAATGGTGTAGTAGTAGACTCTGCCCATAGTTTTCGCAACCCAATTATATCATTTGTATCATTAGATTCATATCATTTATAAGATTTCTTTGAGATCGTAACCCAATTAATACTCGTTAGATTTCGATTTACAAAGGAATTCATAAGATTGTATAGAAATGCATGCGACAACGTGCAACTTTCTTTGATGTAATCGAAGCTTACACGGTTGTTTGAGTGAATCAAATTAATCGACCACATTAATTAGTGGGACGAAGGTAGGATTCCATGAACATGGACTACAAAAGGTAAGGTTGATAGCTATTGGTGGGATCAACGTGTGGTTGAACCCATTAATTGCAAGTTAAGTACTTGTTTATGGTGTTCATGTTCGCCAAACAAACACATGGACCCACTCCGATTAAGGGTCATCAACATCATCAAACACATGGATCCATTAGTCAACCTCGGTTTTGGTGAATCGAGAACCAAATTTCCACATTGGGTTACGTCGATGATTAGTATCCTCTCCAATTTTGCATCACAATTCTTTTTTTTTTTTTTGAAAATTTTCAATTTTTCATGTAAAATTTAATCCTTGTTTTTGTTTCATTCAAAAAGAGTTCTTTATTATCCATGTGGTATTTTTTTTTCTACCAATATAATTTTTGGGGTTTTAATTACTCCTTATTTCAAAGTTTGAAAATAGTCTTTATATTTTAATCATATATATATATATATATATATATATATATATATATATATATATATATATATTCGTAATTTGATTGTTTGATTTGGATGATGATTCGGAGGTTCCTTTTTTATATTGTCATAGTTCGATCTTGACCGACAGAATACTCATTCGATTTCATATATTCTAAAGCTTATAGAATCACGTTAGGGTCATTTTCATCGATGCTCGTTCAAAGTTTAAGTTAATTTAAAGTTCAAATAATTTAATCAATATTTTGAATAATATTAGAACGAGTCTTTGGTATTATCGATCATCGCTATCATGATCAACATTAATTACGAGAAGTAGTTGTTGAAGTGTAGATCCTATGTCAACCATATAGTATTACGATGTTAGTCATAGGACGATAAGAAGATAGCTAAGATGATAATTGTACTATATTAATTATATGAGGAGCACCACCTGTCATATTTTTATTTTTCATATCAATCTCTATAAATAAATAAATAAATAATAAATGAACCTTCGTGACCTTCGTTATCGAGAAAGAATCTTTTTTGTTTTAGTTACTAATATGCCAAAACAAATAATGGTGATGGTTTTGTCTTGGAGCCCCAAACATAGTTATTATTATTATTATTATTATTATTATTATTATTATTATTATTATTATTATTATTATTATTATTATTATTATTATCTGTGAATGTGCAATGTTGATTAGATTGCACATTATAATGTGCAATGTTGACATGTTTCAATTAATTCCAAATCGGTTGATGTAAAGTTGGTGTCAAATGGGATGCAAACACTCGACACGACAAATTGGCGACGGCTTTAGTATGTGCCCGTCCAAAACGGTATTGTCATCAAATGAAAGTTTTATGACCATTGAATTGCAAAGTACATATCAACAATTAATAACATAAAAAAATAGGATTACACAAACATATATGATGGTGTGAAGATTTATACATCAATTAATCTTATTCTCACAAATACGAAAATTACACCCAAGTAGCATCGAAATAATTTTAAGATAAAAGAAACATAAGAAAATATTTTTACATTCTATTCTTTTTCGTCGTAAACATATATTTGTCTAAAATGGTGTTAATCTATACTAAAATTGATATCGGACGAAATGATTAGTCTGACGATATCCATAAGAACAAAATTAAGACATCCCTTAATAATATCTGATATATTATTATGTTGTAAGAGATTTGGAGTTGTTGTCTCCTTCTTCTTCTTCCTACTCTTATCATCACTCTTTGTTTATTTCCACGCATGTCGCGCACGAAGGTTTGTTTAAGAAGTAGAAGTAGCATGCATTCCTTTGATTCGTGTCAACAAAAGTTGGGTGAAGGAAGGAAGGAAGGAAGGAAGGAAGGAGGATCTCAAACGTAAACGGAGTGTTGTCAACATCAACAGGACTACAACAACCTAATCGGAAGACGAGCATAAAAGAAAAGGAAAAGGAATTCTCGAGTGGCTTAATGTCGCTTCACGCCATGGTTGTTGACTCAGACGACGACGACGACCTCCTTCTTCTTCTTTCTTCTTTCTTCTTCTCCTCCTCCTCCAAATGTAAGCTTGCTGCGTGCGTCAACAATGGAGAAAGAAATAATGGTGAGAGTTAGTTAAAATGGAGGGTCGACTAGTTTGCAAGCAAAATGGGGTTTGGTCAAAGCCACACCCATCGATGATGGCGAAGTACTCACAGACATCAATGCTAGCTAGCAACGGTGGGGAGAGAAAGAGCGTCTCTTCTTCTCCAAGCTTGGGTTGCAATTTGTGGTCAAAGCCATCTTTTACTTCTTAGATCAGGAAGACTCCTCCCAGTGGTGAATGATGATATTGTTTATATTTATATCTACATATAATTAAAATGTTGTTGATAATAAGCCAAGTTTGATTATCGATTCAATCGGAGAAAATTAATTAGAGTTTGGAATATGAAAGATCATTGAAAACTCGAAGATATTATTTGAAGAAACATGAAAGATAAAAATGTAAATAGTTAGGGTTGATATTATGATGATATTAGATATATTTATGTACATCTTTCCATCCCATACTCATTCATAATTATAGGAAGGAAATATGTTATATGGGAAATAATTTGAGCATGGTTTGTGCTGCCACTGTTGTACTTTTATGTGTACTTTTAACCATCCATCACATCCTGTCCCTCTGATGCAGAAAGACTTTTTAATGTGAGTCCTGAGATCCATTCTCAGCACATCCTTTTTGTTATTGCTGTTGTTTGATTCAAGCAATTCCATGCAAATTAATTAGGGACATATCTCTTTTTGTTCTTTGACCTACAGCCATTTGTCCTCACAGTAATCCACTAGATTGAATTGTCTCAGCAAATGATGTTCTTTGACTCACAGCAAATGATGCATTTTGTAATTAATGGCTGTAATTTTAAGAAAGAAAGAAATGATCATAATCTTCTATTTGAGATGATACTAATACGATAATAAGTTGTGATATCCCAATTAATTACGATCGATATTGATAGGATATATTTCAACACCGTCACAACGGTCGGTAACGATGCTAATAAAAGAATTCTAGATTGACACGACACGATATTTCAAATCGGAATGCGATGTTCATTCGTCTTTGTTTAAGTCGATGATTGTTTACGTGTTTCTATATTTTATTTCTAACATCCTATTTAGTTGTTATCTCATATTTTTTTATTTCAATTTGATGATTGAATTTTTATTCTTTTTATTCTTCTAAAAACAAACAGGTTGGTAATTGATGGAAAATTAGGGCTTTCCCCCACTTCATAGGGTTGTCTTCTTCATCAGCAAACATCTAAAAGGCCAATTATGATCACTGCGTCTTGTTCTTCATGCATACGTCATCGGACAGCTAGCTCGAATACAGAACCTATCCCTAATCTAATTGGAGGTGCTTAGAACAACACAAGATCTAAGCCCTAATTATTGCATCGACACGTCATCATTTCCTATGAAAAGGTTTTACTTCTTCTAATTTTAACTAACTTTATTATCTTAGGTTTGTAATTTTTACTCTCTCGGAAGAGACAAATAATATTGCAAAAAAGTATATATTATATATTTTTTCCTCCCCAAATCTTCATCCTTTCAGATTGTATATACACAAACAATTTCCCTTTATATTGTTTCTTGTGTTTTTTAGAGCCATAAACTTAAGAAGAATTAGGCAGAATCGGTCAAAATAAATATCTGAGGTGGAGTGCCGGAAATCAACCTTGTTCAGGTCAATTAGGGTTTGGCAAAAAAGTATTTGTCTTTTCTTCTTCTTCTTCTTCTTCTTCCTCCGACCTAAATAAAACACCTAAAGAAATATTAAATTCCAAACACGTGGCATTTGGTCTCCCTTTCCTGCACGCAATCGTTAGGCTGAACCATTCGTCTCCATATGATAAATCCATATTTTAATTAGAAGAGTATGTGACCGTTTAATTATATTTATTGATCAATAAAAAAAATCTAAGGATATATTATTTTGATGAAAAGATTCTTCTAATTTATTTATTTTGTTTTCATGATAAATTAAAATTATTTACACGATAATAATTTATTCTACACATCCGTCGCCGGTGCCCGTTCTTGTCACGATCCGCTCCACCGACGCCGTACGTGGGGTCCCATCCCGCTCTCGTGCAGTCACGACACCACATGTGTCTCTGGGACCAACGAGAAGGAGGTCGCAGCCCCACCGCCCTCTTCATCATCTCCGAACTCGTTCCGTCGAGCAGCAGCCCACCGTGAAACGGAACTCCAGCTTTCAAAGTCCACAATAGCCGCGTCGAGCGAGTAAAGACTGCGAGACGTGTCCGCATGTTTCACACCGCCATTGAGGCGGAACCAGCACGGAGAAGCAGCAGCAGAAGGAATCTAATTATTAGCCGTCAGGTCGGATTGTGTGCATGCATGGCGTCGAGGACTCACGTCATGCACGGTAACAAATGTTTTACCGGAGTTTTGGAATTTTTGTGAGGTAATTACCCACGGAAAAAAAATATATTTGGCAGCAGATTTCAATGGAAAGGACTTCAAAACTCATTCTACTGTTTTAGCATTTGGAATGATTCAGCCCATTCTGACAGTGACTGATTTGTGCTGCGAATTTAGTCCCCAAGTTTTTTGTCTGCTACTGACTTGTTGATAGGCTTCTTATCTGCCAGAATTCTCAGGCGCGTCCAGTGCCGCCCCCCCCCCCCCCCCCCCAACCTCTACCGGAAGATTACCATCGATGTTCGACGCAACTTCTCATCATCGCAAGGTTGGTTGACGATCCATGGTATGTTTGATTGTTCGGAACAGTAGTCTTTCGGCAGTGTACTTGTTGGACCATGGTTTTAACCATGAACTCGGTCTTCCAGTTCATCTGCTGTTTAACTGGTCAAATGTCGATCTGTATCACATTAACTATTGTCATTGGAACCATTGATTTCTCCTGTTAGCTGCCGACGACATCTTTCTTTAAATGCTCCTCCTGCTTGTTGTGCTTCCCATGTCCTCCCCTCTGCCTCTTCCTGGAATCTTTGAGCTTTGTTAATCTATATCGGTCTCAGCCTGCTGCTATTTGAGTTTGGCTTTTCTTCTTCTAGTTGCTGTTGTCGTTGATGGGAGAGCGGACGATGCTTTCATCAGACTGATCGAGATGAGAGGCGCGAACGGCACCTTCCCCAAGCTTCCTGAATCACGGTATTCTCCTCCTCTTCGAATTATTTGCTTCTTTTGGTGGGGAATTCATCATAAGCAATTATTTCTGCTCTGTTCTACCTGATGGTTTCATCGTTTGGTTGTTTGACTGGCGCTGAATTCCTGGTTAAGTCGTTTCTCGCTGGTATTCTTCTCCGATCCTTTCCCTGTTTGATGCTTGGATGTTGATTTTGTTACTTTGCATCACCGGATGTTTGATTGGAGTCGAAATTTAATCTGTCAGAAGATCATGTCTCGTCTCCGATTCTCTTGAGTATTTGTTGTACTCGAGATTTCAGGGGGCGATAGATATTACTTCTTTGGGGAGCACTTCCTCTTTTCTTCTCGACGTAGGCTTATTGGACTCAGCAGGATTTCGCGACATCATAACCATGGCTTCGAAGAATTCCGGAAGCTCAGCATGATCCGAAGACGAATTGGAAATACCACCGATTAAATCCTGCATAAGCTTAGATTGCTGCAGCAGTGACTTAAATTTGCTTGTTTCTGGGAGTTCTAAGGATCGATCTGCTTGTTCCCTGTAGACATCTCATCTTCCTCCGCTGGAAGATTTCTCCATCATGATGATCTTAAAAAGATTCTGAGCTTTCACATGCAGCAGGACGCATAATCCAAACTGTCTTAACATGGTCTCGCATAGGATTCGTCACCTCCTTCTCCTCCACCTCATCTCTGCCATCGGTGGGTGGGAAGGTTTCTTGTTTCTTGCATGAGACACACAGTACCGCATGCTGCATCCAAGCACCTGCGAGTAAATACTGTTCATCGAATACTGAACTTTATGTTGTCCTGTTCTGATCTGAAAGTAAAACCACATCATGCGGAAGAACCGTCGCCTTTGTTTTTGAGAATTTACTTCAAGTTGTTTTGATTCGATTCGTCCAGTTCTTTCTTGTGCCCGTAATTTTTGACCCCGGAATACTTTTTCTGATTCCAGTGATGACAGCAAAAGAAAGATGAAGTTTAGGGACTACAAAGAGGGAGACAGATACAAGATCATATTTCCAGATAGGAGTTCAACCTGCAAGTTCCACTCGCTGAAACTAGCCCTGCTCATCATCACATGCTGTACGGTTCTAACACTTCTCTACTCCCCGACGGAGCCCACCGAGCAACTCCAGCAGTCGAGTTCCAAGTATGCTTGTGTCTGCTACATCATCATCATCGTCCTCGCTATCTGATGTTTTCGTCACCGGAAGCACTGAAACTTTGAATGCTCTGTCGCTTAATGCAGGTCCAGACTTGTAGATGTTGGTCGGATATGGCAACAAACAGCTTCAGATCCTCGATACGTATCCAATCTGGAAGTTGATTGGCAAGGAATACCAAATCTTGTGGGAAGTGCAGACGGTAGACAAGGCAATCTCCAAATCGGCTTGCTAAATTTCAACCTTTCCGAGGTTGGCTATTGGAGGCAGACGATCCCCGATGCTGAGATCTCGCCGGTGCGCCTGGAGTACGCTGACACGGGCATCACATGGAATGTTCTTTATCCGGAATGGATCGACGAGGAAGAAGACAATGAAGTGCCCGCCTGTCCGTCTCTTCCGGAGCCCCAGGTCGAGAAAGGATCAAGATTTGATGTGGTCGCAGTAAAGCTGCCCTGCCACGGGTCGGGAAGCTGGGCCAGAGACGTAGCGAGACTGCACTTGCAGCTCTCTGCAGCCAAGCTCGCTGCAGCTTCCGCCGGAGGGCTCTCCCCTGTCCGTGTGCTCTTCATCACCGAGTGCTTCCCGTTGCCCAACCTGTTCACCTGCAGGAACCTCGTGAGACGCGAAGGGAACGCTTGGCTGTACGAGCCCGAGATGTCCATATTGCAGGAGAAGCTCCGACTTCCGATCGGGTCGTGCGAACTTGCGGTTCCACTGAAAGCAGAAGGTCAGCTGTTCGACTAGTGTCCTCCTTTCTGCATTCCAACATGTTACTCGTTTCATCCTTGAGCTCCTCTCAGAGTTCCCATTGTGCGTGTGGTTGTCTCTTCCTACAGTGCGGCCGCAAACAGGGGATGGAACTCGAGAAGCCTATGCCACAATACTGCACTCCGCGGAAGTATACGTCTGCGGCGCGATCGCCGCTGCTCGGAGCATCCGGTTGGCTGGGTCAACCAGGGACCTCGTCATACTGGTGGACGAATCGATAAGCGACCATCACCGGAGCGGCCTCACAGCTGCGGGGTGGAAGGTGAGAGTGATCCAAAGGATCCGAAACCCCAAGGCGGAGAAGAACGCCTACAACGAGTACAACTACAGCAAGTTCCGGCTCTGGCAGCTCACCGAGTACGACAAGGTCATCTTCATCGACGCCGACCTGCTGATTCTGAGGAACATCGACTTCTTGTTCGGGATGCCAGAGATCTCCGCGACGGGCAACAACGCGACCATCTTCAACTCCGGCGTGATGGTCGTGGAGCCCTGCAACTGCACGTTCCAGCTGCTGATGGATCACATCAACGAGATAACGTCTTACAACGGAGGGGATCAGGGCTACCTGAACGAGATCTTCACATGGTGGCACCGGATTCCGAGGCACATTAACTTCCTGAAGCATTTCTGGGAGGGCGACACCGAGGAGGTCAAAGCGAAGAAGACGAAGCTGTTCAAGGCTGACACGCCGGGCCTCTACGTTCTGCACTACCTGGGGCTGAAGCCATGGCTGTGCTTCCGGGACTTCGACTGCAACTGGAACTCCATCCTCTACCGCAGCTTTGCCAGCGACGAAGCCCATGCGACGTGGTGGAGAGTGCACGACAGCATGCCGGAGAACCTGCAGAACTTGTGCCTTTTGTCGACGGTCACCAAGGCCGGGCTGGAGTACAACCGGAGGAAGGCCGAGACGGCCAACTTCCCCGACGAGCACTGGAAGCGCAACGTGACCGACCCGAGGCGGCATATCTGCTTCGAGCGTTTCTGCCGGTGGGAGGACGTGCTGCAGAACTGGGGCAAGCCAGCTTCATCCAAAACATGAGTACATGCAATGCCTTCGTTCTTTGGTTTTATCTCCTTCTTCTTACTCAAAATGTAAAGCACTTAGGCCTGCCAACCATGCTTCATTGATTTGTACCTTTGTGTTCTTGAGAGAATGGTGGTTGACCACCAACCTGTTTCATTTCACCAGTAAAATGTATCATCTGCACACGGATCATCACACTTTGCGTTCTTTAATAAGATCATAAGTAGTCGATTCTTTTTTACCATGAATTTGCAGAGTAAGCCTTCATGCCAATACCATCTGGTCATCGCCATGGCTCGAGCTTCCAGCAAATGATTCAGCAAGCTTCGAAACTCAAACCTGTCAACGAGCATTCAGCAAAGGTTTAGATAGGAAGTATGTGCGAAGACATGCGCTCGACATGCAGTAACGTGATGACACAAAGTAGGAAGCATACAGGGAGTGAAAGAGACACAGAGCTGCCAACTGCTGACTCTGTTAATCATCACAAACATCTCAACCCATGCAATCGACATTGTGGTCTGAAAACTAATTGCATGTTCACACAAGTTAAATGGTCCAGTCCTTCTATATTCTGTTCCTCTCTTCCTTTTCTTTCCGGCGGACTGATTCCTTCTGGGAACTCTGGTGTTCTTCATGGGAATCAATGTGCAGTGATGAGCCGAATTATCATATGGTAGGGATCACACACTGTGAGCCCACACTGAACTTGGACCACCAGTCTGCATCACACAGCTGGAGGAGGAGTTCCAGAAAGGCACCAAGGAATACAGCAGCAGCACTTCAGCCTCTTATCCATGTCCTGTTCTATGCTTACAATCATATGACAGAAAACAAGGAAATTTCCAGGGTACTTTTTGTGTCTTATCTAGCTATTAAAACCATTCTCTTTCCTCAAATTACATAAAGGCAAACTAACTCTAAGAAATCAACCAAGAAACAGTTTACTCCTTTGAAAAAGAATGCCAAATCTACAATAAAAAGAAATTTTAGTTTACCATACCGAGGTAACCAATCAAAAAAGGCTTCCAACAATCAGCAGTATCATTAAGTAAAGAGAAATTATCATGCAAATACTAGGAGGCTTCTGCTAATTTATAGATGTCCTAACAAAGAAAACCTGTACACCGCGAATCTACCGGGGAGAGCCTTTAAATCAGATATACCTGTGCCGAGCTCATTGACAGGGTGTATCTTTCTTGGAGCTGCTAGTTCAATTGAGAAACAAGCAAATAGAATCAAGAATATAGGAATGTCATCTGATGAGATATGTTTATGTATAGATCAAATGTGAAGACAAGCAGTATTGGGTTCTCTAATATTGATGTTGGTAGCAAGTATGAGATACAGATGATTGCGATATTTCATCTAGTACAAAACAGATGATGTAGGTAAAAAATCATAGAAAAAATATGCAGAAATGATACAAGGAAATAGAATAGTCTTGTGGGAGACACTGAAGCATGTTGTTATTACTTATTGGTAAGGCTTCTCATAGGAATTACTTACAAAATCAATACTGATTATCTCATCAGAACAGAATAATTGTCATTGCATAAGTGTTTCAATATTATCATTTACCTATTACTTTGAGACATACAGGCGAGAGGCAACTGCATGAACTTGTCAAGGAAAAATGGTAACAACTAACAGTAAAAAAAAAAAAAAGGATGGAAGCCGCTGCCCCTGGCAATCTGCTTCATCTCACAGACAACCTTGCACTTCTTGTGCGCTTGCCATGTTGAACCCTAAAAGAATAACAAATTATACCAAGGAAAATAGAAAAGACCACAATCCCGAACATCAATTCACAACTTTCTCCAGCCTGCACACAGAAAAGAAATAAGATAAAGATGGTATGGTAGCACTAACCACAGTAATAGTATTAATACACAGAGACATTTATAGTTAACAAATTCTTATATGTGGTTGACAGAATTCATAACCAGATAAGGACAGATTGGTACAATCGTTGTGCATTGTCAAGCCTCTTTGTTAATCTAATTATCAATGATAAATATGTTACACCAACAAGATTAGGAATTTGTCATGTTTTTAGGAAACAAGTTTCATATGCATGTTGAATGAATAGCTTCCTGGATGAGCTATTTACCAATTATATTCACAAACTACTTACTGATCTTTATCCCATTTTTTACCAGCATGTGGGAACTCACCCTTCACCAGAAGATAGGAGAACACGAGTTCGTTCCAAGCATCTGGGACTCCAGGGAGACACCAATGGCTGCAATCAGTAACGGTAGAAGGGTGGCTCCAAGTGCCGACATGAGCATCACTTCTATATGCACCCATCGGAGTTACATTAAGGACAGTGACAGGAACTTTCATCCTTTCCACTACCTCAACTATGATTTCTGAAAACTCCGTCCGGTCATTCGCTTTGGCCTCAGCCAAAGGGTGCTGCGTCAAGTTACAGACCTTTTGGTTTGAGTCACTGTGACACCAGAGAGGCAGAAGACAAATTAATAATGCACCTTTTACCATACAAGTTAATGCAGAATACTCATTTGACAGGATGAGACACAAACAGAGTATGTATCTAGTAGTGTTGCAATTAAGAAAACTCAGACTAAAAGAATAAAGACTTTTTAGTGCACTGTCAGAAAAAAAAGAAATTGTTGTCTCACAAAGAGAGTATCTAGTAGTGTTGCAATTAAGAAAATTCAAACTAAAAGAATAAAGACTTTTTAGCGCACTGTCAGAGAGAAAGGGAAATGTTGTTCGTATCAGCACTCACCAATGATGAGTCCACATTTTTGAGAATCATTACTACCAACTGATTTAAATCCTTTGCGGTGACTTCTTTATGTCTTACATGAAATTGAAAGCAACAAGAACCATGATAACACTTAACTGTCCCGCAAACCTAGGGTCTTCATACTCTTCATCGAAAAATGTGGCAAGATTTCAGGGATTTGTGAGAAACCATGAACTGCAGAGTAATGATCAATTACATGTTTAAGGAGGTTAGGTTCTGCTTGAGAGGGATTAAAATGAAATCATCAATATATCTTTCCAGAATGAAGAGGAACTCAAAAGCATTCCAGTTTCCACAGAAACAGCAATATAATTACAATGTAGCAAATTTCTAGAGCTGAAAAGTAAGTTTACCACATTATCAGTTTTGAACTACCAGAAGGACCCAAGGACAATCAAGATAGGCCACTACAGATTAATGCCGACCATATAGGGTGCCAGGATATACTTCCATGTTTTGATGAGTAGTTGAAAAGTAGGACAGCGGAGAGATGAGTTAGATTTGTATATTACCTTCTCTTTTGAAGACAATATGAGATTATGAAGAGAATCACACCTATGTTTTGTGTGAAGCTTTTCTTTCATTCTTGCTTTATACTTATGTATAAAGCAAATCTACCGCTTGCTGTTTTTTCTGATAAAATATTACCTAATTAGGTAGTTCTGTACATTTTTCCTAACTTTCTTATTTAAAAATATATAACTTGTACTTCGAATACTTGCTAGATCTACTTGTAATTAAAATATAACTATATCAAATAGTTTTTATAACAAATTATATTAAACTTGAAGATGCTAACATACTCTAAAGTTAACATCTCTAACCATTGAAATACGTTAAAATTTTCATTTTTCATGCTGTAGATCAGTAGAATAAAATTACTTTAAACCCCCAATTATTTTCTACCAAGAACCACCATCACACAAGGGTAATCTGCCTTTTGTTCCGCATCAACTTCTAAGGCAAATTCCAAGAAAATGGCTTATCAAGTCTGCAAAATAATATATCAATATCGAAGGGAGCAGAATTAAAGAAATTATTTTCTAATTCAGATAATATTAAAAAGTCCAAATATTTTAATAATATAGCCAACCAGTTATTAATATCAACCAAAACTTGATATTATACTAGCATGGGTAACTTGCTCATGGAATATTGCTGAAAAAAAAAAAAAAATCAAGCAACAAAAAAGAAACAACTCAGTCCATTAGGAAAGTCTGCCCCATCCAGCTAGATGGCTCAACTAATTCTACTAAATGAGGTATAAGCATATACCTCCAGTGGGAAGGCTCAAAGGTCCGGAAGAAGACATGAGTTCTATTTGTGTCGACCATCGTCTCAACCCAAGAAGCCCAGGTGTTTAAGGCAATTGTAAATGCAGAATCGACAGACATTCCAAGCTTCAGAGCTCCTCCAACCTGGAAATAGCAACCCCTGAGAAAAAGACCATTTCAAATTCAGTATTAACAATGGAAAATGAAAGAAGACTTCTTGTAATTGCTAATATCCGTTTCCCGTACTTGGAACTCCTATCGCATAACGAGTAGATGATATATTGAGCATAAAAATTGCCTTTGGAGTCCAATACAGAAGAGAAATCCCGAAACACTTACATGTCAAAGAGTTTGCTCGGAGTCCACCAGTGACCAGAATTGAAGATAAGTACATCTGAATCAACCCACTTCCTGCTCATGTCATCCATCTTGTCCAGCTTCAGTGTCGTTCGAACCCGTTTTGGCCCATGTCTCGGCGGCAAGCTTTGCTGTACAAGAAAAACCGAGCGGAAGAACTCTATGCTCAAATTGAATGTCTGGAACCGAACGCCTAAGAAGCGGATTGTCTTTGAGATGTGTTTTCCATCGACTTCATAAACGGTGTTGGGATCCTGCACTCCGGTCATGAGCATGCATATTAGAGACTCCCACTGCGTGCGACTCATCGAATCACCGACAAAGACGACCCTTTTCCCTCTGAGCCTTTCCAAGACATCCTGCACATTAAATTTAGGCACATCGCATCGCCATGGTTTCCACCTCCACTTAAGATAGTCCATATCCTTCCTCCCGTTTGCCAAGCAATTGAAACCTCTTTCAGCAAATGGACACTCCGAGCTGTTGTACAGCGGGTATGAGCTATCCGGCACCCAGCGACCATCAAAGATATCACAAACATCAGCGTCGCCGGTCAACCCAGCAACCAAACTCCCACTGCCCAGGTATCCTTTAACGTTGACATACATGAGACATCCAACAACGAGCACGAGAGAGGCCAGACAGAAGGCCGCGGCCAGATCGCCCAAGGAAGGAGGTCTGGGCGCCACCCACAATTTCCGGCGAGCGGAAACCCTAGGGCTGCTCACAATCCTAGGGGTTAGTCGAGCCGGCAGCCTCCTACTAAACCTACCACTCACCATCTACTGCACCAGAGAATCAATCAAAGAACCGTCTCGCCCTTCAGCAGCAGATCAAGACGAAGCTCCGGAACCGAGGCATCTCACATTCCAATCCAACATCGGCAAAACGACAACCAAACCGCAGGTTCTTGGTCTCAGACCAACCCCCAGGATAAAGAACAAGAAAAAAGGGCGAAAAGGAACGATTATTTCCCGCATCGAACAGCTTCGAACTCGATCTTGGTCGAACCAAGGTACAAATTTGGATCAAGAAACCAGATCTCCGCAAAATCGCAAATCTCACAGGCGGGAAACGGGATTGAAACCGGAAATCGACCGGGTTTTCCTTGCCGTATGTCGCCTCGTACTCTCGGAGCTCACTCCGCCGATCCAAGAAACTCCAATTCGAACTCGAGATCTCTCTTTGTCGGCTTCTTTCGCACGGAGGAGTACCGAATTGGTCAGGCTCGCGGGAAGTCGACGGCGGTGGTTGGAGGCGGGCGAAAGTTAAGTAGCTACCGACCGGTGGCGTTCCTGTAATTTTGTGTGAAGCATTTGGTCATTTGTTGTGCCAACGGCTAACTTTGTTGTCCAAATTTGTTGTAGAATCGGAATCAATTGGATCCTTTTCCACTTATATTTTCTTATGTTATCTGAAAAGGTCAATAATAAAAGATATCAAATCTTTTATTTCCCAAGAGGAGTTATAACACGATAATGATCAAAGATCATGATCGAAAATATACGATAAACACGATAACGATTAAAGATCATGGTCGTGCTAATTGTATCTACCGAGAGTATGATGATGTAGTATTGATGTGTCAATCACTTGGCACTATTGCGTCAACTCATTTACCATCGAGGCATCGATCAATCATCTTACATCGAGGTATCGATCACCTTACACTAGAATATTGATCACCTAACACTAGAGTGTTATCCACATGACATTTAAGTATTGATGAGGATAATCACTGCGATAAGACTCGCGTGACGTCAGCTGTCCCAAATAACGCCTCACAGCATCTGGTCAATGCATACCGAAACGCCGACCGAGGCACATTAACACCCTGCTCAAGCTCAATCCTTCACGCCACGCCAACACCAGCGTCAGACGCTACCAGCCTGCCCCCTGCAAGCGGGCAGCTCGGAAAGCAGTAAGCTTCCCTATAAATACCCTCTCGTTCATCGAGAAAAGGGAGAGGAGAAAAGATTCCCTAACCACTATCATCTGACTTGATCGTCGGAGGGGTCGGGCCGAGCACCCCGATCCGACCTTTGTGCAGGTGCGAAGCAGGTCCCCGTCGGACGTGAATCGAGGAGTTCCTACTCGGAAGAAATAACGACCCCGTCCCGACCACCGTATCAAACCACCTCGACGGATTCGGAGATCGTCTCGGGAAGATCCCCGTCATCCGAACCCGAACCGAGCAACGTCGGCCCCGAGGCCACGACTCAAAAGATTGTTTCCACCAACAAGTATTGATCAAATGTTAGCCACCATTATTTTTGTATCGAAAAAAATATATGATAGAAAAATATATCTTTGTATCAGATTGAACTAAATTGGAGTTGCAATCCTCCCCAGCAAACTCCGGGCGGAGGCCGTCAAGAATCCCTACCGTCGACAAGAAGTCAAAGATAGGAATTTTACTGCTGACGCATCATCACGCACACCTCGCGTGACACTCCACGGCACCCTCGTGTTCCCAGTGGAGCACACCCACAGGAATTCGTTTCCTACTTCCCACTGAAACCGCTGCACCCACTGGTTTCCATCACCATGGTCAGTCACATATCGAGGAACTCGTAATACGAGAAGACCCCTCGAATCTTGGCGACGTGCACGGAGAAACCGGTGGTATGCTGCTCGGTTTCTCCAATTACAATGGGCATTTCGATCTCCACGCTGGTATAAGCACACGCGAGAAGCTGCTTCCACCTTCCACCTCTCATCGTAGCTCCCCGGTGCCAGCCATGCAGGCCTCTTCGCTCTCTCTCTGTCGCTGCCTCCACTGCTCCTCCTCGCCCGTCGGTTCGAGGAGATTCCGGGTGTCGGCGGTAGCGGCGCCTCCGCTGCGGCGCGATGCGGTGCAGCACTCGATGCCGCCGGAGAAGGTGGAGGTGTTCCGGTCGCTGGAGGGGTGGGCAACCGGGGCGCTGCTGCCGCTGCTGAAGCCGGTGGAGCAGTGCTGGCAGCCGACGGACTTCCTGCCAGATTCCTCCAGGCCGATGGAGGAGTTCGAGGAGGAGGTGCGGGCGCTGCGGGCCCGCACGGCGGAGCTGCCCGACGACTATTTCGTGGTGCTGGTGGGCGACATGATCACGGAGGAGGCGCTGCCGACGTACCAGACGATGATCAACACGCTCGACGGCGTGCGGGACGAGACGGGAGCGAGCGGGAGCCCGTGGGCGGTGTGGACGCGGACGTGGACCGCGGAGGAGAACCGCCACGGCGACCTCCTGGGCAAGTACCTCTACCTGTCCGGCCGCGTCGACATGCGCATGCTGGAGAAAACGGTGCAGTACCTCATCGGCGCAGGCATGGTATGTCGAGCACACGCTTCTTCGTCCCTCGAGGAATGGCATACATGTTTAGGGAGGGCGACCGCTGGAATTTGAGTGTGCTTATTTCGGTGCATCGATTGATCGCAGGACCCAGGGACGGAGAACAACCCTTACCTCGGCTTCGTCTACACCTCCTTCCAGGAGCGCGCCACCTTCGTCTCCCACGGCAACACCGCCCGCCTCGCCAAGGAGCGCGGCGACTCCGTGCTCGCCCGCGTCTGCGGCTCCATCGCTGCCGACGAGAAGCGGCACGAGAACGCCTACGCGCGCATCATCGAGAAGCTGCTAGAGCTGGACCCGGACGGCGCCGTGCTCGCCATCGCCGACATGATGCGCAAGAAGATCACGATGCCGGCCCACCTCATGGCCGACGGCCGCGACCCGCGCCTGTTCGACCACTACTCGGCCGTGGCGCAGCGGCTCGGGGTCTACACGGCGGCCGACTACACGTCCATCGTCGAGTTCCTGGTGGAGCGGTGGAGGCTGGAGAAGATGGAGGCAGGGCTCAGCGGGGAGGGTCGCCGCGCGAGGGACTTCGTCTGCGGCCTGCCGGCGAGGATGCGGCGGCTACAGGAGCGGGCGGAGGATCGTGCCAAGGCGGCGGAGCCGAGGAGAGTAAAGTTCAGCTGGATCTTCGACAGGGAGGTGACCATATAATGAATGCAGAGTACACAATAGAGAGGTGACCATATCTGTATCAAGCCCAGTCTGAATGAAACTAAAATCGATCTCCAATATAAACAAAACCTCTTCATTGAGAGCCAAGGAAAGCGATGAAACCCTAGCGATGGTGCGGCCACCGAGATAAAACTGCTGTCGGATCATCGCACTGCCCTTCAGAGAGAGGAAACACCAAGAAAGTACCGCCGGCACCGCCAATCGCAAGAAGAGTGGCAATGATCCGACTGTCCCTCCTCGCATCTTCCTCTCGATCTGTCTCCGTTTCGCCCTCTCTCAGGGTTTGGAACCGGGAAGGGAGAGGAACAGTTTAGGAAGGGATGGGATTTGTAGTAATGGCCGTCGCGCCCGGCCCGACCCGTCTCAGCCCGACCCGACCCGTTTGCTTTGGAATCAAGGATCGAACGTGGATCATGAAAAGGATCCGAATCTTAATGCATATACAACCTCCAACAAGTAAGCCAAGCCTAGAAAAGAAGACTATGGCTGGGTATGAATACAAGGAAGAAACATATTTAGGTCTTTTTTATTCTATATTTGATAGGATGAAAAAAGATTAAATAGGAGTTGACATCAGAATCCACTTCGTAATTGTAAATCATTTGAATCATGGGAAAAAATGGTCGCCTATTTCGGTTTCTTGGAAGTGAAAGGAAAAGGAAAAGAAGAAGTATGTTATTTGGTACCTCCTTGTCATCATCATTTGTTTGAAACTGTGGATGGATGTTAAACCTAGAAATGGGAGGAACTTGAGAAGCAAACAAGAAGGATTCTGAGGACATTTGGAAAGAAGCAATCCTACACTGGAAGGAATCGTCTTCATCGATCAAGCATCACATAAGAATCAGATCAGTACCTCTGTGACCAGTTACATCAGCCTGTGCTACTCCTATCTTTTGCATCCTCCTTTCTAATAGCTGTTCGACTTTTCAGTGGAGTAGATTGCTGCACACACTATCAAGTAAAAAACTGTATGTATGTAGCAATAAAAGGTAAAAGAAAAAAGAAAGCCATATGGATCGATCAACATTATTGCTGGAGAAAACAGTATTTTGATTAGGACAATAGAAACGACACAAAAGAGTGTGCTTGTGTGTGAGAGACAGAGAGAGAGAGAGAGAGAGAAAGTTACATGGCTTTGCCTCAGATCAAGGCTCGTCTCAGCCCACCCTTGTGCACGCACCGGCACCTGCACCTGAGTATGAGGTAGGAGAAGAACCTGTAAGCCAAGATGAAGCACACCATCATCATCACGTTCTTCCACCTGCACTCCTTCCTCAATCCTTCCTCCCTCAGCACGTCGTCCCCTCTCAGCAGGCACACCCCGAACCCATTCGCCAAGCAATGGTCGGAGCCGGAGAACTCGTTGATGAGGAATCCTTCGAATGGGTACTTGAACAAGGAGATGTAGTGCATGAACACCCAGTAGCTCGGCATCCACTGCTTCGATATGAAGTACCCGGAGAAGAGGAAGAAGGTGCCCATGAGACCCGCGATGATCGAGTTGCCGATGATGAAGTTGGGGGCGAGAGCGCTGAAACAGACCACCACCGAGTTCGCGGTGTACAGGATTAGCCATATCAAGAGCAAGAAGTACATGAAGGCCGAGAAGCTCGGTCTGAGCCCTGCGAGCCAGTAGACCGGCACCGAGAAGAGTACGGCGAGGACGAAGAGGAACGGAAGGAAGACGAGCCCGTTGGCTATCACGTACGAGGAGACTCGGTAGCTCCCGTTCGATGTCTCCTTCATCAAGATCTCCCTTTCTTCAAGGAAGATCGGCAGAGCTTCTGTGGTGCAGGAGAGCAGGAATGTTAAGATGAAGGCGAAGAGGCCCACTCGTTCTCTGATGTTTTCGTCCATGAGATGGTAGAATATGGAGCCGAGGACGAGGCCGGAGACGAGCATTTGGATCGTCCGGCATGCGAACAGTTGCTTGGTCCGCAGTACGTTCTTCGAGAAGCGGTGGGTGAGGATGGCGATCTCCCGTAGCCTCGAGTTGGCGTAATCGTAGGACAGGTCATCGAGGTCGAGCCCGGCGAGCGACTCCTCGTCGACCACCTTGTGCTGCTGAAAGAGCTGCTGCAGGGTGCACCTGTCTCTCTTGCCTTCAGCTCCCTCGACTATTTTCTTGGGCAATTGGAATGGTGGCGCTCTGTTCGCCGGTGGTTCTTGCTGCTGGTGATGCTGTGATTGCGAGCGACGGAGGGTCTCGATGGAGTCGATGGCGAACTCAAGGACATTAGCGTGGTGGGGGAGCTCGAGGCTGACGGAGCGGAGGTGGGAGTGGAGCTGGTCGATCGTACCGTGGTGGAGGACGGCCCCGTCGGCGAGGAGGAGGACGGAGCCGAAGAGCTTGACGATGCGGAACCCTGGCTGGTGGATGCTGAGGATGATGGTGCGGCCTCGGGTCTCGGCCATGACCTTGAGCATGTCGACGATCTGCAGCGCCGACGTGCTATCCAGCCCCGACGTCGGCTCGTCGAGGATGAGTATTCGCGGGTCGTGGACGACGTCAACTCCGATGGAGACCCTCCGGCGCTCGCCGCCGGAGATGCCCCTGACTCGGGCATCGTCACCCACGCGGGCGTCAGCCACGCGGCCCAGGCCAAGCTCCCGGAGGAGGGACTCCACCCGGGCGCTCAGCTGAGAACGGGAGAGACCGCGGTCGCCGCCGCAGCCGAGGCGGAGGCGGGCGCTGAACATGAGTGTCTCCCGCACCGTCAGCAGGGGAAACAGGGTGTCCTGCTGCGTGACGTAGCCAGAGATCCTGCGGAAGTCGGACTTATCCACCGGCCGCTGGTTGATCAGGATGGTCGGCGGCGCCGGCGGGGTTATCTTCCCCGCGAGTATCTCGAGCAATGTGGACTTACCGGCGCCGCTGGGCCCGACGATCGCAAGGATCTCCGACGGCTTGGCGCGGCAGCTGACGTTCTTCAGCACAAACCGCACTCTAAACTTCTCGCAGGCCTTGTCATTCGCCGGAGCGTTCTCCACCTCACCGAATGGCCCAGGGTGGTGGCTCAACGCACCACCACCCTGCTCTTCTTCTTCTCTACTCCATATCTTCTTCAAAGGGTGGGATCTCCCTGGGACGGAGATCTGGTAGCTGATGCCCTTGGCTTCTATCTCACAGCCCTGTGGCTTCATGAGAGCTCTCCCACTTCTGCAGCAAAGCCTAGAACTCACCACTGAAAACACACACCGCCTTGCCGCCACCTATAAGACTGGCATCAAAATGCAATCATTCCAAGCCCATTCTGCCCCTCGAGAGCTGAAGGAGATTGCGGGGTTTTGATGGACATAGCAGTGGTAGTTTGGGGATTCAAGATAGGTGAGATGTACACCAGGAGTTCAGGCGAGGGTGTGTTAATAGAATAAACTAGTGGCTGGGAATGAAAGGGAGAACTATGTAAGGGACCCACCCTTCGTTGGCACACGCTGACTTGGCGAACGTCCCTTGTTTGCTTCCTCTGTGTGTATCTCCTCTGGCACGCCCGTGACCGCTGCTTCGGCCCTCGCGAGGTCCCCTTGGGAAAAGATGGCACAGTTTTGGGCCCGTGAACGCGCCCCGTGCCCAAACAGATCTCACACGTTGGGTGTCTCGTGAGGGTATCAGATCGAAGGCTGAGATTTGTGGCCTGCGTTCCTCAGCGACGAGACATTCCAATTGTTTTGTTCCGTGCGAGAGATGGCCGTGGCAGTGCGCCATCTAAATATCAGCTCAGTCGAGGACAGAACAAGAGAGAGAGAGAGAGAGAAAGAGAGAGAGAGGGAAATTTGAGAAGGTTCTGGAATGCTAGAAGCCTACGGATTGAGATCGTTTGGTAGCTCTATTTTTAATTGTGGATTGACATTTTTTGAATAAGATTGTGTGCTATTGTTGTTATCCGATTTCTAGCTCATGGTGGATTCACTAATCTTCTTCTTCTATTATTGGATCCCAGAGCTCCATCTTGGCAAATCGAGAGCTTCTCTTCAACTGCAGTAGCTCCACCACGACAGATCGAGAGCTTCGCTTCGATACTTCCATCTCTACCTACAGCTCTTGCTGCGTAGTTCAACTCCTTGTTAACTCGGGTTAGTTCAGCTCCTCGGTACCTTGGGTTAGATCATCAACCTACCTCCGTTCCATCAAAAAATGGATTAGATTCCCGTAGAGAATAGTTGTTAGGGGCGATCCGTAAGGTGGCAGCGAGCTCGCATAATATTTACTATAGTCACGGGTGCAGGTCAAAGATGCATCAGTGCTCCAATTATTGGCGGTGGCTGATAGCGGCTTCTTCATCAGCAATGCAAAGACTTGCTCATAATTTAGTGGCTTTTGGCGAGTGCATCAGCCACTTTATGATTCACATTTATGAGTGACAATAATAATGCACCGTTCAGATCGATTCAGGTTCAACTTAACCCCCGACTCAGGTAAAGAAGCTATGTACAAATGCTCGTGAGCTCGCACTAAATACATCTGTCTTGATTTGGCTTCATCATGTTCGAGGTGCAGTACAGCAGCAAGAAGAGATTGGTTCCGAGATCCAATGCCATGTGAAACAAATACATTTTCTACTTGATGGATCCCTTCTCAGTTCTGGAGCTCCAGTGGAGACAAAGCATACAGAAGAAGAACACCGATTAGGATTAAGAAAGGTCTCGCTCGAGTCCAGCAACTACAGATAGATGCTGACAGAAGCCGAGGAAAAACCAAACATATATGTTTTGTCCTTCGGATCATCTACTTGCGAATATGTCATGAAACTACAACTCAAAGCAGATCCACATTTCTATTCTTAGGTGGTCATTATGTTTTGCATATGCTGCACATGATGACCAGCTTAAACTGCGGAGGAGGTCATGCTTTTGCTTGCCTGTTCCTTGGTTTTGTGCTAATCAATCATTAATTTCCATGCAGCGGAGATGACAAGCTCTAGATGATATCTGAACTGTTGGGACTACTTCCCGAGCAATAAGTCCTGTGTAAATTCTAAGTTCCAGTGGATTAGGCTGCTTGCCTGAAGAACAGCCATCCTGTTACGTGAGACATGCTAATAATTTCCACGTGCTGGCCTGCAATGATTCGTACGCATGAAGCCATACCACATTAACTTTTGACAGACACCAACGCCCCGACAGGAGAGGCCCTCTGGTTGTCATACAAATGGAGCCAAAGGCCTTGTTTTGGCTTTCATGCAACATCGCGTACAGGTACGTGCATGAATCCTGTTCCCATATCACAAGGAAGAAGAAGGCATCCCTTAGAAATGGAGCATTGATGCATGCAGAGCTACATAGATAGATATATAGATGTCGTCGCTTCCTTTGGCTTCAGCGGCGAAGTTGTCCATGGCAGAGATCGAGGGCGGCGAGAAGTGTTTATCTTCTCGGTCCGGGCGAAGGAAGGGCGGCGTCGAAGCTTCCCGATGGCGAAACCCCGAGGCTGAGCGGCGCCGATCATCGTCCCTTGAATTCTGACGTGTTCATCTTTCGAGGGGGAGCTGCAGTATGAGTTGGAGAAACCCCGAGGATGCAGTGAGATCGATGGGTTTAAACACATGAAGATTGATTGTCCACACTGTTGGGATGCAATTGAAATAAGATATTTTAAAAGAAAAAAAAGTAGTATAATATTAATAAAAAAATAATTAATATTTAAATATACTTTACTTGAATTTTGATCCTATTTATAGATATAATAATAGTAACTATCTCACCATCTCATAAAATTTCACCTCAAGTGAAATTTTTATTCTTATAAAAATAAATAAAATAATTAGAAAAACATTTACCTGCCATCTTAATATCGAAGGAGACTTCTGACCGTTAGATCAAAGCCCACATCGGGCATGGGATTGATTGATCGTTCCACGTCAGCCATCGGTTTTTGTTTATATCAACATATGAATTAAATAATGTTTAATTCGCTTTCTCAGTGGCGTCAGTTCACTGCCTTCGTCTAGCGCGTACTGTGATGCTTTGCTGCTTCTATCTGCAGCGAGAATTCTCGGTTCACTTCCTTCTTCTTTTGGATGCATGTTTACATTAACAACGTAAATAATAGCTCTGCATCTACTTAACAAGCATCGTTAATTAGCATCACATAATATTTTATGTTCGAATTCTCTGAACCCTCCTTCAGACTTTGTCTGTCCACTTTTGGGCCAAATCTGTTGTTGAATTAAGAAGAGGTTTGGATCCTGAATCATTTGTTGAACTAAGTGAAATCGTTTGGTCGGACTGGCATGAACACTAATTGAAATTACATTGTATCATACAATGTTGTAAATGCATTTTGATTGTACATCTCATTCACCTTCTATTTATATATTTATCTCGTTGGTCGTCACGTAGGAAGAAGTTGAGATCGAAGCCACAGCTCTGCATCTTACAAGGACTGTAGGAGTGGCAGCGGTGGAGATGAGGGAGAGGAGCACGGGGACGATGATAGCTTGGGGACGCCACACTAAATATCTTGCTGTATCCAGCAAACCGCGTGACATTGGCTCATCATGTTCGATTGGGTTTTCATAGATTTCTGTGAAATGTAATGCTTGCTGACTTGCATTAATGAGGTTTTCTCTCAGTTTCATGTAATGTCTTCGTTTAGTCCTATATCGGAAGAAACCTCCATGTTTAGCTTGGCTTCCACCTCTCTGCTTCTTGTCTGCGTCCACGTCTTCTTCCTGTTATAAATTGTTCAAATTAAGAATTTCTTTCTAAAGAATTTATTTGTAAAAGGTAGTTTTCTTTTATTTTTGGTAGTTATTTTTTCAAAAGGTTGTGTCTTTTGATAAAATAGTTATAATTTTCAATGGTTGTGTCTTTTGAGAAAATATCTATAAATAGCTATTTGGGGTAAATTA